GAGACAGAGAACCTGACTCATTTCCTTCAAGTTCTTGGAAGTAAAACCATGTAGTATAGCAACAGAAGGTGGAGAACACTACTCAGAGACTACAAACAGAGACTGACTAATTAAACCTAAATGTGAAAATGTGTTTTATTTATAAATAATAATAAATATTACTATGAATTGATTGTTTTATTTGTAATGGAATAATGAACAATGAGCAATATATAATCAATAATCATTTGCTGTTTAGTTTATAATTAATTCTTTTACAAAAAATCACTTCAATAAAATGCTGTTCTCTTAACCCTTTAAAAACCTTGATAAGAATATTAAACAGCACAACTGGTTTCAACATTTTTAGTAATAATAAATGAACATTAAATAAGCATTGGACATGTCTGAAGAATCCTGTCACTGGAAACTTGAATCCAGTCATGGTTTTCAAGACATTAAATTGTTTCAAATATAATTTAATATAATTATTTTATTATTATAAAATATAAAATAAAAATGTATATGTTTATATTGAATGTAAAAAATTAAATATAAAACTGTTATCCAAAATCATAAAAACATTTCTTAATACAGTTTTTTTACTGTATTTTTAACCTCAAAATACCGACTTTAATCATTAAGCAAACCCAATGTACATCCTCTTTGTTTTCAGTCAAATTATGTCTGTCTGAGATTTTGGGCATGGTTAACAAACTTAACCACACCTCTCTTCTACTATCAGTTTTGACAGGGCTATGACAACAAACAGAAATGGTGAGGAGGTGGCGTCTGTTAGGTTGTAATAACTCTACCAAAAACCCTTTTCCTGATCTTTCTGAATTAAATGCCTACTTAACTACATACAATCAGCTCACAATATAAAAAAGCCGCACCCACTGTTTTCTCATTTAACATTTTCTTCACAAGAAGTGACTCAATTGACACAGGTAGGTAACAAGATAATGACAAAGGACGGATGTAGTATGTCCGAATTCCAATCTTGATGCTACTCACATTCATACTACATAAAATGCACTTATAATAATTAAACCTATTATAATTAAAATTTCTTATAGTCATAAAGTAAATTCAAATTCAGATGTAGAATCTACTCAAGTAGTAGGTGATTTTAGTTGCAGCCTATTTTCTTACACATTCAATCAAAATCGTTCTGGCAGGCAAAACCTGCCTGGACCTAATTTAGCTGTTCATCAGCCAATCAAAACCAAACATTTAATAGCCCTGTAGATTAAATAAGCTTATCAATAATTATATAAATATCATTATATTTTATATAATTTATAATCTGTGCAAGTTTATCTACTGAAAAAAAGTTTATTCATTGCATGTTCTTCAACCAAAGTGTTCCTTCTGTTGACATCAGTTTGATGGCTTCAGCTACAATATCCTTAGCCATGCCCCTCTTACAATTAGTTTGCTATAAGGAATGATAAATAAAAATAAAGCCCCGCCCCTACTTAATATTTAATTTCAGTTGGAAGTAATTCAACATAATGAAACAAGAATCTCAGCAACTCTTTAAGCAGACTTTAAAGAGCATATTTTTGTAAGAAATGTTATTAATTATATTATATTATATTATATTATATTATATTATATTAAATTATTTTAGATTATATATTATATTATATTAAATTATTTTATATTATATTATATTACTTTATAATATATATTACATTATATTAAATTATGTTATATTATATTATATTATATTATATTATATTATATTATATTATATTATATTATATTAGATTATATTAGATTATATTATATTATGTATTAGGCAAAAATTGCTGCACTGTGGCGAAGTGGTTAGCACGTTTGCCTCACAGCAAAAAGGTTGCATGTTTGACCCTCGGCTGGGTCAGTTGGCGTTTCTGTGTGGAGTTTGCATGTTCTCCCCGTGTGCATGTGGGTTTCAACAGATGCTCTGGTTTCCCTTACAAGTCCAAAGACATGCGGTATAGGTGATTTGGGTAGCCTAAATTGTCTGTAGTGTATGTGTGTGAATGAGTGTGTATGGATGTTTCCCAGTTATGGGTTGCAGCTGGAAGAACATCCGCTGCATAAAACATATGCTGGATAAGTTAGTAGTTCCTTGCACTGAGGTGAAACATAATAAATAAAGGGACTAAGCCCAAAAGAAAATGAATAAATGTATTTGGCAAAAAAATAACAAAGTAAACAAAACAGTAATTAAAATGAATAGTCAGGACTCAGGCCAAAATCTTTGATTGAGACAGGCCTAGTAGGACCATGTTGGGTACAAAAAAATACATTATAAATGAAACGTATTACTTCTAAATAGCTAGTTGGGCTATTTCTATGTCACCATAGAGCTATAATCTACTCAATCGCTCAACCTCATCTGCCTCTGAGAGCATGAGGAGGACCTAGTGAATGTTTTATGAGGCTGGGTGGATATAGCACACGCCCTCATTCCAGTAGATTGTGAAGAGCTATATTTACATGAATTATTTTATAAAAGAATTCTAGGTCATAAGTCTTCCGAAATCAGAGTCTGCCAGAATCAGCACCATCGTGTCCAAAAGCTGCCTTTTCTGTCTCAGTCTAACAGTGTTTTGCATTTTCGGTTGTAGCCGCACACCTGAGCACATTGATGGGGCTGCTGCAGGCCAGCATTAGCAGTCCACAGTGTACTTTTCCACAGTGCTTCACTGAGCTTTAATTTGCTGCTGCTGCTCGGTCTGTCACTATCAGGTTTAACCTCTGGCCATAGATGTCCCCTGCCTCCAAAACACCTCTGAAATGCTCTCTTGCACTACAGCCGTCACCAATAAACCTGAGTCACTGACAGTTTATGTACTACTTTTATTGCTTAACCAAATTACCATGCTAGTTTTCAGAATGCAATTGGAGTAGAATCAAGATTCATTGATGTTATGGAAAGAAAAACTGCTTCCGGCCATGTTCATGAGATCTTACTTTGATACAACAGTGCTTCAGAATGCATAAAAATGAGGCAGGAGGAGATTATAAAACACACGGAAAACTGAGTGAAGACTTATCACAATGCCAAAGAAAAAAGGGATGGTGCAAAATACATGATGACAAGCTTCCAGTCACTTCAAAAATGTCTAAAATGTTTCATTCGGGTCTCAGAAACAAGACTGCTTTTCTGAATCCTACAGATTCAACTGATAAGAATAAAACCCCGACAACATGAGGCAAGAATTTCGTGCCATGAGACTGAGTCACAGAACAAGGCGGTTAGTATTGGGGGATACTGACCTCGCTGCGCTTTTGTGTATGATCAGAATTTATGAACTGGTGCAGTTTGTTCAAACAGGTTTGAATTCTTTTCAACATCTTGCTGAAATTAATTGCAAATGCCTTTATGGTTATTTGATTTATTTATGTTTTCAACTTACAGAATATTTCAGGGCTACAGTAATAAAAAGAGCAATCTACAATAAGTTTATATGAATATGTATAATTTATTTCCAAAAGTACATTTCTGTATACCTACATTTTTTTGGCAATACAAAAAATTTTTAATAAGCAATTAATTATTTACCAAGAAAAAGTGTATTACATGTTTATCTTTATTTTTGAAATATAAAACAAAAAATAGTAGAAAAATAAAAATAAAAACAATATTGTAATCACCGTTGATAGATATGTTCCAAATATATTAGTATTTAGTGTTTTAGCTGAATGAATCATTAATAGCCTACATTTAACGAAAAGGCTTATTTTGGACAACAAATATGATTACATTTTATAATCAAAAAAAAATTGACAAAAAAACCCTACAATCTAATTTTGCTCAAAGTGTCTGGAGGCAGGCGATGCAGTGGCGCAGTAGGTAGTGCTGTCGACTCACAGTAAGAAGGTCGCTGGTTCGAATCTCGGCTCAGCTGGCGTTCCTTTGTGGAGTTTGCATGTTCTCCCTGCGTTCGTGTGGGTTTCCTCCGGGTGCTCCGGATTCCCCCACACTGTCCAAACACATGCGGTACAGGTGAATTGGGTAGGCTAAATTGCCCGTAGTGTTTGTGTGTGTGTGTGTGTGTGTGGATGTTTCCCAGAGATGGGTTGGGCTGGAAGGGAATCCACTGCGTAAAAACATGCTGGATATGTTGGCGGTTCATTCCACTTTGGCGACCCCGGATTAATAAAGGCACTAAGCCGACAAGAAAATGAATGAATGAATGTTTGGAGGCAACACACAAAACCCCTGCTACTCTGTAAAAAATCCTGGTTGCCTTAATTTTTTAAGCTGAATAAAATTAACCTTATGAGTCCATTGAACGTACATTATGTTAAACTTACTTAAAACAGTTGGTATAACTTATAAAGTTAAGTTAGAACATGACTACCTTAGATTAATAAGTTACAATGACTTAAAAACACATGCTTTCAGGACTGATTGATCGTATTTTTTACAGTGTAGGCAAAAATAATTGTACAATTGGACCTTTGACATAATAGTGTGACAACTTGCCCCGGTCTCCCCTACAAATGAGTAGGTCAGTCTTTAAATATAACAAAAAAGGTTTCAGTAACTGCCCCTGGTCAGCTATTTTAATGAGTAGCTAAATTATGTTCTCGTTTGGTCAGTAGTTTGCGCAGGTGTTTGGGTAATAAGACTCATGGCTGTCCAACAGCCGCTGTAATTTCAACGAGGTTAGTCACTCCCGTGTAAACAAAACGCTGCCACTATCCGCTCACATCAGTCCGACTCATTATTCCACCATAAACGTGTTTATCTCATACAGGTATCCTAATAACTCCACAACGTGACACTGACAACCCAAACACCCCCAAATATAACCCCGCTAGACTGTATTGCGCAATCTATTTCAAACAAATTATTATGGGACGCTTCAATTCTCATTACAGACTATAAACACAGCGCGCGTCGCCATAAAACAGTGGCTCAAAACAACCAAACACCGAATTCATTGCATTAGAAATAAAATTGCGAAGTGTGTGATGATGTTTTGAATGACAAAAGCTTAAAAGCGCTTTCTTACCTTCGTATAACAGCTTTGAATGAGGACGTGCTCGCGTTTCTCTGCTTCCTCCGGTGACGCTGCTGGTACCGCGCGCTGCGTCAATAATGGCCTTTTATACTATTACGAGATTTTCTCTCTCTTTACCAAGCAACCACAGCCTCCAGTCGCAGTAAGGATGCTTTCGTCTGCGCGACACGATCTCTCTTCCTCCACTCTGTCTCTATCTTCTTTTCATAATAGCCCAAATCATTCCTCTCCTCCCTCCCACTCCATCTCTCTCTCTCTCTTCCTCTCTCTCTCTACCTTTTCTCCCCTCCCTCTCACTCAATATTTGATTCAAACGAGGGAATACGATTAATGCAACTCAACTAAATCAACCTCTTTTCCCTTTGATGCACACTAAATGTACACAAAGAAGGTTTCCTCAAAGGAGGTAAAGTGTGTTCCCTTCCCCCCACTGGTCCACACATACAAATACACACAACACACCCCTTCACACCTCTAATGAAACCCCAATGGCACAATATCCACACTCTCATGACATCTCAGGGAAAGCACACTGTCTGTGTTCAGATGATTCATAAAGACTCAGAATAGTATCTAAATAATCATACACAATGCTGCCAAATGCAAATACATCTTTATCTGAAGGCGGAATATTGAACATTTATGTAAAATAGCCAACCACAGAATAGTCCTACTCGTTTATCGTAAGGGGCTGAAATTGGGTTTGTTTCTGCCTTCAGGGAAGAAAAATCTCAATCAACCCAAACTCGTGAGAAAACTATAAATTTAGGAGGTGGTTTAAATCTGTTGTGATTCATGTGTTTACACACAGTGTTACACAGCCCTACAATTGTAAGTAATGCTAAATATAGCTGTAAACAGGGTATAAAATATATTGAGCTTGTCCACTTTTGATCATTTCCATAGTCGAAAATGCATTCATTAAAGCTTTCAACATATAAACACTAATGTTATTCAATGTGTTTGGAGAGTAACAAAAACATGAGCTGTGTTGTTGAAATGCATGAGGAAGACAGCATTTACTGTAAACACTGTCCAAATCTGGAAAGTTCATTGTCTCAACACCAGGGACCTCATGTATCAACGCTGCGTACGCGCAAAAACATTGCGTACATCAGGTTTCACGCCAACTTCATGTCTGGCGTATGTGCATTTCTTGTGCGTGTTTGTTTTATTTCCATTGGCGACTCCTAGAGGCAGTTGTGTTAAATTGCACACTACAAAATATCTTTGATTGATGATATCGTCCCAGCTGTATGGGACGATATCATCCGCATGTCTAGCAGGTATATAAGGTTTCCATACCATAGTTGACCAGCCAAACATGAAAGCCCAACTTGCAGTGATCGCCAGTTTTCCCAAAGTAATCGGATCGATCGACTGTACGCACAATGCTATAAAGATACCATCTGAAGATGAATTTGCATACGGGAATCAGAAACATTTGTATTCAATAAATGTGCAAATAAAATATGATGCTCAAATGCGCTTAACATAATGCACACACTTATTAATGATTCTTACTTGTGTTCCTCGTGATGAAAAGTAGGCAAAACCTGATATGTAATGGGGAAAAAAAGAAGAATGAGTTTATCAGATGCGGGATTTGAACCGGGTTCATGAATAACAGTGTCAAAACATGTTGTCATGCGCATTACGAGCTATGCTACTAGCACTGCTGATGTTTGCCCTTCGGCGAAAATCACTAAACTGGCTCATTCCAACAACAAACTTGCAAATAACATTTTTCTCTGGTATACCTCCAATAGAGCACCTCCAATTCACATTCTGTTCAAAGTTTCTCTTTTTGCTTGCTTTTGCCATTGCTTTATTGTTTGGATTTGCCAAAATAGAGTCATTAGCATATTCATACAGGGGAGGAGGCAGGGAGGGGTTTTGTGCTTGTGCATGTTGCACTCAGTTTCACGTTCATTCGGATGTACAAAGAGAATATGCGTGTGATTCGGCATACGCAGTGTTTCATACATCTGCATTTTTTACTGTGTATGCACATTTACAGCTATGTGTGACGCAATGTTTTAGTATGATTTCAACGCAAGTCTTCGCACATGAGGCCCAAGGACTATGTCTCCTTGACTGAACCAGTCAACCAAAATGCATCAGATGTCCAAGAAGTAAACAAGTTTTTGTTTTTCTTACAAAAAGTGTTAGACAAATATAAGGATGAAAGTCAGTTCTTACAGGGTGCAAGTAAATTGTACAAAAATCTCAAAATGACATCTTAATTATTTGTACTAATTAAGATAAAATTCTGGTGAAATTTTACCAAAATAAAAAGATTGTCCACAGGATTGTAAACAGGGTTATGATGTCACTTCCAAACTAATAAATGTATTGTTGGATCACCATTAATTTATGTGACCAGCTATATAAGACCGGACCAATAATGATCATCTGTTTCTCAGATATCTCTTATTAAGAAAAGCATTTTTTTTTTAGCATGAATGCATGGCATACTGTACTTAACACAAAATATACAAAAACACATTTACAATACTATCATAGATGTAATTACAATGTTAGAACAATGTAAGTACAATAAAAATATTGTTAAAACGATGTAATTACAATGTTATTGCAAACTAATCACAATGTTATACCAATGTAACAATGCAATTACAATGTTAATACGTAGAGATTACATCTAAAAAGTTTGTAATTAGATATCTAGGTGACAATACTGTACTGTACATGAAATATTCAAAACACATTTAAAATATTATCATAGATGTAATTACAATGTTATAACAATGTTAGTAAAATAAAAAAAATTATTATAAAAACATAATTACAATTTTAAAAAGTAATGACTTGTTATACCAATGTAGTTACAAGATTGTAACGAAGTAATTACAATGTAATTGCAATGTAAGGACATAGTAATTAAGTTTTTAACAACATGTGTATTGTGTATATTTACATATATAATTAAAGATAACCAAATATTGTACATGGAACATAAAAAGAAACATTTACATGTATACATATTATTTTGGATGTAACTACAATGTAAATGACATAGTAATTACTATGTAACGACACATTAAATGAACAGAAGACAAGCTTGTAATTACATAGTACATCTCAGAAGTAGTTAGAATAACATAACAATGTAAATACAATGTCATTACATCCAAAATAAAAGTTTGTAATGACATTTGTACTGTTTATATTTACATACAAATACACCAACACAGTACTTGGAATATACAAAAAAACATGGTTATAAATGTTATCTTAGATGTAATTACAATGTAAACAGTATTGTAATGACTAGGTAATTACATTGTAAAAGTAATGTAATGACATAGTAATTACAATGTAATGATACTGTAATCACACACAAGATAAAAGTTATTGTTACGATTGACCGGGTGGATGGAGGCAAAAAAGTGTCACAGAAGCCGCTGGTGAAAGTGAAGAGTGATTTATTTACACAAAGTGAAAACAAAATCCAGCAAAACAGGTGAAAGTGACAAAATAACAATAAAGAAAAATAAACTATTCAATATTTACAATGTATATACAGGCTTGTTCAGCTAAATCAAGTAAATGACCTGAACAAAATCTGTTACCAATACTGACAAAAACACAACCTTCTCCTACAACTACCCACCCCAAGTGAATGTTTGGGGCCCCACCCATGGCTTAAACCATTTTACTGGTAGTGGGTTACCATGTAGACAAAAAAAATACATAAAAAGACATTCAACAGAAATATAAATTAATGCAAGTAAATGAATATGCATAGAAAACTCAAAATACAACACAACAAATAACCAATACAAATTTAAACAACAAAACTGTGATTTTTATTTACTGACCAGGGGGTTGTGACCCTGATGATGTTATGGAAAATGGCTGCTCCAAAGTGAAGGCGGGAAAAATCTGTATAAATGGCTTTGTTTGAAAGTTAAACAGGTTTGGTGCTGAGAATAGGAAACTGGTAAGTATATGTAAACTCTATATGTTTGGTTAATAAATGAAGTTTGAAAGAAAATGTGTCTGTGGTTATTTCAGTGTTGATATGGGCTATTGTTTGACATAAGTGAAATTTTTACATAAACACAATGCTAGTCTTGACAGAAAACAACATATACATATTACACAAACACACACATGCACAATACAAATAAAACAAAGGTCCATGTTTAAAGGTGTGTATTTTATGTATGAGTGCAATGTGATGTGTGTTTGTTAGTCACAGTGTCTTAGTTTTACACTGTGACAGTTAGTAATTCTATATACAGCTATAAATTAACAAACACTGTACATGCAATATACAAAGAAATATTTACATTTATAAATATGAGCTTGGATTTAACTACATTGTAATTACATGTAACGATATATAAATCCAAAATAAATGTGTAATTACATATTACAATGTTGCAACAATGTAATTATAATGTTACAAAAAAATGTAGTAGTTACATTGTAATAACAATGTAAATACATTGTTATAATGATGTAGTTACAATGTTATAACATTGTAATATGTAATTACAAACATTTATCTTGGATTTAATTACTACGTCATTACATGTAATTACATATGTACTGCTTATATTTAGGTATAAATACACAAATACTGTACATGAAATATACAAAGAAACATTTAAGTTTATAAGTATTATCTTGGATGTAATTACAAAGCAATAGCAATGTAATTACAATCTAACGACATAGTAATTAAGTTTGTAATTATGTGTACTGTGTATATTTATGTATACAACTATAGATAACCCAATGCTGTACAAGCAATATACAAAGAATCATTTACAATGTAATAACATAGTAATTAAAAAGTAACGACACAGTGCACACAAGACAAAAGTTTGTCATTATATATATATTGTATCTCGGACGTAATTACAATGTTATAACAATGTTATTACATCCAAAATAAAAGTTTGTACTTACATATGTACTGTGTATATTTACATATAAATTCACAAATACAGTACTTGAAATGAAACAAAGAAACATGTTTATACATATTATCTTGGATGAAATTACAATGTAACTACACCGTAACACAAGTTTGTAATTACATGTGTACTGTGTATATTTACGATACAACTATAAATAAGCAAACACTGTACATGCAATATACAAAGAAACATTTACATTTAGATATATTAGGATGTAACTACAATGTAGT